TTAGTGCATCAGCGGGAATGCTTATATCGTGCGCGTGAGACCATTTCTAGGCTGGCTACCTTGGGAAAGCGTTATAATGTCTTAGTGGGGCATTCCCCGGAAAGCGTGAGAGGCGGGTTCAAATCCTGCCTGTGTTCAAGAAATTCCCGCCTGAGGCCCTTCCCAGCATTCTTATGATGACTTTGGCGCATCGAGTCTAGGGTGAACTAAAGTTGCAGACGAGAATACAGACCTGCTTTGGCGTACCCAGTTTTCTGTAGCTTTTGGGAGAATGAGCACTGTGGATACCCTCTTCCTATCTTTCCATTACCGGTAGCGTAGCAAGGTGCTGATGGAAATGGTATAGTCGTAAAGCGGTTCTACTCGCTGTGCCAAGGAAAGCAAATGGCAGCCGCATTCACACGATTGCGACAGAAGTCAAACGGACGCGCTTCAACCTCAGGGTACATCATGATGATGTGCGCCTGCCCCTGCCACCAGTACCACTCCAGAAAATTCCGTCGAGGGAAGGTAGATACCCAAAGTAACAGTGGTCCCTACTCTGCTAGGTAGGGGAATGTGAAGTACGGGTGATATCGTCGCAGTCAGTCGCGGCGGGGTCAGAACCTGTGAAATCAGCCCGCCCCCGGCTGCCTTTTCTACCAATAGCGATCGTCTAACGGTCCACTCATGATGAAAACAACCAGTTGTAAAAAAAGCCGCCGTTGGGTTCATTTCATTCCTTCTGACAAACCCCCGACTGATTGCTAAGATCCCAACAGTTACAAGGGGCCCGAAAGGAGGCTATCTATCAGGAATGGCTTTCGCTAGGCCGAGTCAGCCCAGCAACCAAATGCAGTACCCTCCTTCGTGAATTTCACAAAGGGAGTGTTTTCTGCCTGTATTAGCTTGAAACAGGTCGCTGAAATTTGAATATTTCGGAGTTAGTGGTCAAGGTACCAGCTCATTCACAGTCTAGGATGGGCACAGTCGATTATTCCAAGCAAGCTACTCTCACCTTCGCGGAACCTGCTCCTTGCCTTTTTCGCGGCTGCAGTAGCGTGCGCGCCACCTCTTCCACTAAAAAGTGCACGCAAAAGGGGCTCTGGGGTAATGATACCCGAGTCCCGTCGGAATACTTAGTTTGTACCAAGAACGTGCACCAAAACACAAAGTCAACGCCGATGGTGTGAGCGGGAACAGTCACCCATTGTCTTTTTCTTGGCGCATCCCCTGACCGCCCTTTGCTCGTGTAACCGCCCAAACGACGGGCTCTGCCTTAGAGCTAAATTTTATAAGTGGACAACAACATGCGCCTTAAGTTGGTTGCCGAGAATTCTGGAGAACTTAGCAGCATTTCTATATTTCCAGGTTTTTCGTGTTCCTCGGGAAATACTTGGAAATCCAGTACGGCGTACCACAGTACAAAGTTCAGAAATACTTAGGTAAGGCAGAATGTTTTCAGTGACCGAAGTTCTTCTAGATCGAGCGCTCGTACACCCAGGGGAGGCGAGGCACTCATATGACTCCTAGTGCAAAATTAGAACTGCAGATGACGCTTCTGTCTATGTATGAAGGGTGAAAAAGCTCCGAAGCGAGTGAAACAATTTTATTTATTGCAATTTTATTCGGATCACATTCACATTTTGCACAAAGGAATGTTCAAATGCCATATGTTCCTTAAGGTTATTACCGCCCGCCTCCTGAGTATGTGCCTATCTTCCTTTCTGTCGAAATGTTCTCGCTTTCAGCTGTTACTGGCATTGTGGGATTCGGATTCGGAGTTCTCTGTGGGAGTGTTGCAATGCGAAAATTCCGTTTGCAGGAAGCAAGAGTTATGAAGATTTATCAAAGTATTTCAGCATACTTGCCTTCTTCTTCCTCACTTAGCTGAACGCCGTCCTCAAATACAGCAGAGTTCTGTGATGTGCACCAGCTGATAAGCAACCTGTGACAACGAGAACACTTGCAGAGTGCATCCCTAACGAGTATTTCATTCCTTTCTACCCTCTTTACCTGAGAACCGCTTTCTCTGCCTCGTACGCGTGGCCCTTTTGGCGGTGGCGTGGTGCTCACCCTGGTAAATTGGCGCCAGGGCACATCATCGCTAGGGGTTCCACATTAGAGAAGCGATTGGGTGACGGGACGTACTCAGCTGGCTGAGCACTACTTTTTCTGCATCACAAAACGTATCGCCTTGTAGTAGGAGCGGGAGCAGCTCGCAGTTAAGGCGTTGTTCGGCGACGGGGGGTGGGGCTTTTGCACTTTTGATACTTCCCATCAACGTATCGACCCATCTAGACAGCCCTTTCTTGAGTTGACAGGTTTTACCATGATGGCTTGACGAGCTTGCTCCAGCTTCACAAGAGTTCACAGGTTTCACCAGAGTGAGACTTGTAAACCGGAACTAGTGAAGCAATGAAAGTGCAAAATGCCCCCCCTCTCCCGTCGCCGAACTGCGCCCTAGGAGTGTACTTTGATGATGCGCACTTTTGCTTCCGACGCGATACTGCACAAGTTTGCCTTCATTTCAGTGTGAGTTGCTCTAGAAATGATCTAAACGTCTTACGAGTTACCCCTCCAAAGATTTTCCATGACGAAGGATGACCGGCTCACAAATTTATGAAAAGCATCCTGCTAATTCCAATGAACTTGGCTTCGAACCGTCAGGATCCACGGACCTTCCTGCGCTTACAAAAAGTGCAACTAGAGGGATTAATGAAGTCAGTTGGATGAATTCGATGATGAACAGGGGCGATAGGCGAAGCAGGTAATCCTGCCTCAAGAGGGATTTTGAAAGGACTTCACAGGACCAGTAATGCATTTCGATTCTCTGCGCTCATTATGGTACTAATTTTCATTTCTGAGAACTGCAATGAATCTCAAGGTAGAATTAAAATATGTAGATGTTGGATAAAATATGTTCAGGAAGAAAGGCTGCCACATGGGTTGCCGTCTGCTCACTGGTTGCCGCATTGATGGCGTTCACAAATGGTGCTGTCGGTTGCAACTCGGTGATTGGTAAAATTGGAGAGCAAGCTGTGTGAGTATTTCTATGTTCAAATCAGCACTTACTATTTCGTTTTGATCTTGGCCACCTCTACAGTCCTTCTGTTGGAGGAATGATCCCTCCAAATTCATGTCAAGAGCTCGGAGAACGTTATTCAACAAGCAAACAAAAATAAATAAAATCGAAAACAAGATAATTAGAAAGCAAG